CAAGACCCCCCGACCTTGGATGCCTCAGGCTGCTCAAAGAACTCCAACTCCCAGCTTCCCCCAGAGGCCAGCCAAGACATCATTCCTCCATCCCAGCCTTTAACCACCTCTGCAGACCCCAGCAGCAGAGGGGACTCCGAATCCTCTCCTCTCACCGAGCCCAATCCCCTAATCCTACACCTCTCCCCTCCCGACAAGGCAGTGGAAGAATCTAGAGTCCAGGAGAGCCCCTGCTCCTGGCTTTCCATCACGCCCACCCAGCCCAACCCTCCAGAAAGCCCCCCATCTCTGCCCCTCTCAGAGTCCAGCCTTGATACTGCTTGCACGTCCCAGCCTCCAGGTGTTTCCTCGGGTCCCAGTTCCCCAGCGACGCCCAGAGCCCAGCCTTCCCAGGAGCTGCTAGCCGAGCAGGCTCACCTCCAGCCCTTCAAAGAGCTGGGAGCCCCTAGACACCCTGCTGTGCCCACCAGCGACTGGCCAGAGCCCAAGGCCAGAAGCCGACCTCGAGTTGCTGAGCTTAAGAAGTGTTTTGAGAGTTAAAGTTCAGGGATCTGGAAGAGACCCCACCCCCTCAATAAAGCCACAAGAGCTCAAAGCTAGTTTTCTCCTGGCGAGTCCCTGTCTCTGTTTAGAAATCCCCACCACTCATTACTCTCCTTCTCGCTGGCTCCTAACCCACCCCGTGGTACCGCAGAAGGAAGGCCTGGCAATCTGGTTCTGTAAAGATTACAGCCAAGAAAACCCTATGGAGCAGTTCTACTCTGTCACCCATGGGGTTGCCGTGAGTCAGAAGTGACTCAACAGCAGTGGGTTTGTTGTCGTTGGGTTTTTTTGTTTTGTTTTGTTTTTTTATTATCTCTGACTACCAGTTTTATAAAAAAGAAAATAAAAGTGAGCAGCCCCACCCTCCCTGGCACTCAGGGCAGAGTCCTTGAAGCACCTTCATCCCTTCTATTCTTAAGCACGGGGTGGGTATGTTTACCCAGAGAGGGTTCTGCCTCCCCCAAGGCCACACAGCCAGGAAGATGGAAGACGGTAGGGAAGGGTGGAGGGAGGGGACCTAGATGGGCAGGCAGCCCCGCACCGTCTCCTTCAAGTCCTGGGGGGGCCGGGCCTCAGCTGCGTGGGACAACTGAAAGGAAAGGAGAAGGGGTTGGAGGGCCAACGTGGCAGCCGGACAGACGGCAGAGAAGATGGTGCGGCAAGCAGGGCGGCGGGTCCCCAGCCCCCGCACCCCAGCTCCAGGTGAAGTCAAGCAGAGGCGGCATGCTGCGGTGCCCCCAGGCCCCCTGAGTCCTCCTGAGCCATCAGAGGCGGATCTCGCGGTTGCTGTGTGCCGGCGAACACCAGGCAGTTCTGGGCAGTGGCGGCGGCGGCGGCGGTGGGCCCCAGGGTTCAGATAAGCCGCTCCTCCGGCGGCAGCTTGAGGTTGGGGGGTGGTGGCACGCGGGCACCCACCTGCTCCTCATTGCTGGGCCGGTAGGTGCCCTCCGTCTGCCGCTTCTCTCGCAGCTTCCGCACCAGCAGCACCAACACCACGGCCAGGAGCAGGGCACCCAGGATGGAGAAGACAATGATGATGGCAGTGATGGCCTCCTGGGGCTGCGGGCGAGGGGACGGGGGTGCCCCCAGCGTCTCAGGCCAAGGCTGGGGGTCCTAACTACCCTACCTGAGAGGCATCGGGGGCTCCTCTCCCCGCTCCCCCGCCACTTTGGGTGTTCCCACTCAGGGTTCCTGAGCCCGTCTATCACATCTGGGTCCCATCTGCATACCTGGGCCCTCCCCTGCACACCTGCCATATCTGGGGCTCCCTGGATGCCTGAGAGGTCTATGGGACTCCTGACCCCCTGCTGCTGGACATATGGTATTCTTGTCTACCTCCCTCCTGAGGTTTCCAGACCTTTCTGGTCTGGGGTTCTCAGTCTCCCCATATGCTATGTCTGGTGTCTGGCCTCTCCCATTTGGGGCTCTCTCACCCCCTTCATCCATTCACCTGCCGCCTCTGGGGGTCTATGCCCCTCCACCTGCTACATGTGGGACTCCTGGATAACATCCCCACCTTCCCTCCTCCCACATGTACCCCCAACTCACCAGCGCCCCACTGGAGCCAGGGCCAGTGGGTGTACTGGTACTGTTGTCATTTACTGGGGAGGCCTGTGCTGGGGGGTGGAGAGGATGCATTAATCTCCATCTGGTCTTCCCATCTCACCGGCTGCACCTTCCTTGGGCATCCCCACCGGGCCAAAAACACCAGTCATCGTCGGGTCTATTCTGACCCTATCTATATCAGAGTAGAGCTGTGCTCCATAGAAGTTTTGATGGCAGATTCTTCTAAAGTAGTTTGCCAGGCCTTTCTGAGGCATCTCTGGGTGGACTTGAGCCGCCAACCTTTCAGTTAGCAGCCCAGTAGGGCCCAGTTGACACTGTTCTTCTGAGTCTTCCATTCCCGAAGAGACTGCGGGTACCATGCAAGTGAGGACCAGCCCAGCTGAGTTCCCCCCAGCCCCCTAAAAAACCCATTGCTGACGAGTTGATTCCAACTCATAGCAACACTAGACGACAGAGTAGAACTGCCCCACAGGGTTTCCAAGGCTGTAAATCTTTACGGAAGCAGACTGCCACAGTTTTCTCCCTCAGAGTCCCTGGGTGGGGTCAAACTGCCGACCTTTTGGTTAACAGCCGAGCGCTTAATCACTGTGCCACTAGGGCTCCTTCAGCCGAGCCCAGCAGGGAGTATATATTTGGTCAATAGTTGTGCTGTATACCAGTTGCCATTGAGTCAGTTTTGACTCAATGGCAACCCTACGTGTGTCAGAGTGGAACTGTGCTCCATAGGGTTTTCAATGGCTGGTCTTTCAGATGTAGATTGCCAGGCCTTTCTTCTGAGGTGCCTCTGGGTGAGCTCTTACTGCCAGCCTTTAGGCTAGCAGGTGAAAACTTGAACCATTTGCACCACCCAGAACTCCGGTTTGTTTGTGCTGCGTGGTGGCTATTAGAATGGATGGATCCAGAAGCCCAACCCCCATCTTGCCAGCCCTAGGCCCTTTCTGATCTGGGTGGTTCTGGTCTTTAGCCTGGAGTATCTGACTCACACCTCCCCTCAGGTTCTTGAAACTGAAATAGAAAGGCTGAATGGTTGAGTCGGCACTATGGCCAGCCAGCTCAATCCCGGCTCAGGGTCCCCTGCAGGCCTCCACCTGGCTCCCAGCCCGCACAAGATACCTCAACTCCACCGAGACTCAGGAAGACTCCCTCTGCAGAGCCCGGCACCCCGGCCCACATTTCCACCTCTCTCGGGAACCAGGAATTCTTGAAGATCGACTCCCACTTTCCAAGGAAGGACCTAGAAATTCTAACTCTTCAGCCCTGATCCTGTAGACACCCCCTCCCAGACATCTCAAGCTCATTCCCCAGTCCTTGCCCCTCTCCCTATCCCAGGTGACCAGCTCTTCTAAGCCCTGCCCCCAGCAGAGATCCCGGAGTCCCGGCCCTCCCCTCAGTGCCCCGGGCAAGTACCTACTTTGTCCCCAGACCTGGCCCCAGTAGGCCGGCAGCAGCGGCAGGCCGAGCGCGAGGAACAGCCCCAGGCCCGGGCTCGCCATGGACTGGGCGACGGGTTGGTGGCGCCGGGGACCGGGCTTCTGGCGCGCGCCGCTCTTACCACATCTCGGGCCGGGGGTCTGCGCCACCGGGCACCTGGGGGCAGGAACAGGGGTGAGGCCGGGCTTGGGGAACCCGGCTGGCCCCGGGCGCAGGTCCATAGGAGGGGCGGCAGGCGCCAGGCCACCCGGAGTCCCGCCCGCCCCCGCCGCCGGAGGTCAGAGATTAAAGATTAACTGCGGGGCGCGCGTTCCGGGGCCCGGGAGAGGGAAGGTGATGGGGGCGCCAGGCCGAGCCGCGCGTCCCGCCTCCCTACCTGGCCGGGGCGTCTTCCGCTTCGCTCAGGTTCTAGATCTGGGTCACTCGCTCGAACCCTCAGTCCGTCCGTCGGTCTGTCGCTCCGGCCGACTCTAAACGACTCCGCCTGCTCACGTGACCCGGAAAGTTTAGTCACTCACCTGGGAGAGGAGCGCACTTCCGGCTTATGCACCTGAGCCTTGGGGAGGGGGCGTGGCCAGGCGGGGGCGGGGCCGCGGCACCGGCGCACCTGTAACGGGAATCCAATCCCATCCTAGGGAGATGGAGAAGCGCGCAGGTGAAAGAATAACGTCACACCTGTACTGTGAGCACATCTGTAGGATCGCACAGGTGAGACACGGGGCAGATAGACACCCGTCTACAAAGCACTTCTGTCTGGGGCAGACCCGGATGGGGAGTCCCTAATGAAAAAAACACCTGTGGGGTACGCACCTGCATGGGGCTAACTTGTCTAGAACATACCTGCATGGACGTTCAAGTGTAAGAAGAACACCTACGGGAGACATCTGCATTGAATCACATCTATATGGGATATAGCTAAACAGAAACATTGTTGCTAGGTGGAAAACATCTGTATAGAACACTCATGCATTATAGCAAACGCCTGACTTAGGCACTCTGGTGTGGGGGACAACTGTTTTGGAAACACATCTACATGGCTCATCTATGAAATGAACAACATTTGCATGAGGAATTCTTGTGGAAGCCCATTTGTATCAGAAACACCTGTATGAGGCACATCTGCAATTAAGCACACCTGTATGGGTCCCCAGTTATATGGCAACATGCTTATATGGGTGTATACTTACCTGGAACACACCTATATGGGGAGAGGAGAACTGTATAATGCATTCCTGCATGGGGGAAGTACCTGTTGAGAAACACCCATGAGGTGAAAAAAAAAAACCTTATCTGAAGAATGTTGATATTGTTAGGTGCCATCGAGTCTATTCTGACTCATGGCAACCCCATGTGACAAAGTAGAACTGCCCCACAGGTTTCTTAGGCTGTAATCTTTATGGGAGCAGATCGCCAGGTCTTTCTCCTGTGGAGCCGCTGGGTGGGTTCGAACTGCTGACCTTTCAGTTAGCAGCTGAGCGCTTAACAATTGCACCACCAGGGTTCCTTTGTATGAGGAATGTTGTTGTTAGATACCGTGGAGTGGGTTCCAACTCACAGCGACCCTACGTACAACAGAAAAAAACACTGCCCAGTTCTGTGCCATCCTCACAATTGTTGCTATGTTTGCGCCCATTATTGAAGCCATTGTGTCAATCCATCCCATCGAGGGTCTTCCTCTCTCTCCCTGACCCTCTTCTTTACCAAGCACGATGTCCTTCTCCAGGGACTGGTCCCTTCTGATAACATGTCCAAAGTACATGAGACAAAGTCTCGCTATCCTCGCTTCTGACTGTACTTCTTCCAAGATAGATTTGTTCATTCTTCTGGCGGTCCATGGTATAGTCAATATTCTTCACCAACATCATAATTCAGAGGCATCAATTCTTCTTCGGTCTTCCTTATTCATTGTCCAGCTTTCACATGCATATGAGGCAATTGAAAATACCACGGCTTGGGTCAGGCACATCTTAGTCCTCAAGGTGACATCTTTGTTTTTCTTCACACTTTAAAGAGGTCTTTTGCAGCAGATTTACCCAGCGCGATACATCATTTGATTGCTTGACTGCTGCTTCCGTGGGCGTTGATTGTGAATCCAAGTAAAATGAAATCCTTGACAACTTCAATCTTTTCTCCATTTATCATGATGTTGCTTATTGGTCCAGTTGTGAGGATGTTGGTTTTCTTTATGTTAAAGTGTAATCCATACTGAAGGCTGTAGTCTTTGATCCTCGTCAGTAAGTGCTTCAAGTCCTCATATAGGTATGAAGAATACCTTTATAAAATTTCGCTCAAGTGAGGGGAAGAGCTGGGAACATCTGCATGAGGCACACTTACATTGAAGGACATATGTGTGTGTGGGGGGGGAACCAGCAGGACAGAGGTTTACCTGTATTGAGGCCCACCTGTCAGAGACATATCTGTGAGAAAACACGTGTTTGGAGAAACATCTGTATCCCCTAGGCTGTAGGACAACTTCAAGGACCGCCTGTGAATGAAAACATCTGTTAGGGGGTCTTCTAGGGCGAGGCTCGTTTGTCTCGGACACACCTGTTTGGAGCACACCTGTCGGGGCAGACGCGAGTGGGAACCAAATATGCCCTCACGGCTGTACCTTCGGATAAAAGGCAATAATAATAAGACCGCCCCTCCTGGAGACTCTAGGATGAAGGGTGAGGACATAAGGATCCCTTCTAGAGTATAGAGGGATGGTTTAGAATCTCAGGTCTGGTTAAATCCCTTATAGGGTTTTGGCGAGGACGACGCCAGATGTGAGTAAAAGGCCTGGCGTGTGTAACGCACTCAATAAATGTTAGCTATTGTTATTAATATTCGCTGTCAAGTGCTTCGGGCGCCCCACCCCCTAATGGTAAGTCGAGAAACTGCGCCCGAAACGAGTGGGAGGTACTTTCGGCAGGTGCAGCGAGCGCGGCAGGCTGGGACCACGCCTCCAGCGCTCTGCCACCCGGTCCTAATCCCCAGCAGGGCCCAGGACACTGGGATGCCCAGGCCGCTCTGGAGAGAGCAGTCAGCCCGGCATCCGGATCCGGCCGGGGCCCTTTAAGACAACTTGGCCCGCCGCGGGGCCGCAAAGCCGAACTCCGCCCCAGGTCCACCGGGAGGCCCCGCCCAGGTGGGAGAGGCGGGACGGGCGGGACGGGCGGCCCGGCAGCTCTGGCCAATAGGAAGACGATTTTGCACCCGCGCCTCGCGTTGATCTTCCGTTTCCCGGGCTGAGTGGGACGAAGAAAGGAGACGTGCGGGCGGGATGAAGGCAGTGATGGATCCCACCGCGTCTTGATTTGCTGTTTCTGTGACAAAGCAGGGAGCGTAAAATGCGCGGGCGGACAGATGGAGGTCTAGATGCGCAGGATTCTTGCGTTCATATGGAAAAGGCAAGAACTTTAGTTCCTGAAGGGGATTAGTCCGGGAAGGAGGTCAAGTGGGAAGGAATGACCAGATCCAATCCCTGACATCTCCCTACTTCGCCTTTTTGGAGAAGGTGGTAAACTGAGGCACACAGAGGCGGAACTCTGAAACCAGAAGTGAGAGCTCCGCTTTCCGGAAAGAACCCTGATGCTCCCTCGGCTGTGCCACACCAAAGCATCCCCGACATTCCTCCCCACATCCTCAGCTCCGCCCCCGGCCCCCTCCCCCCAGTGCAGGTCGGGGGAGGAGACGCAAGTTCTGGCGCGGGCGGCGACGGCTAGCAGCCACCGTCTCCTGCTGGCGGCGGAGGCGGGCGGGTCGCGTGGCACTGGGGTGGCCGTGGCCGCAGAGCTGGTCCTGAGGGGCCCCGGGGGGAAGGGGGAGCCGCGCAGCCCCCGCTGAGGCCGCCGCCGCCGGGCCTCCCCTCCCCCCCGGGCTGGCGCCATGCGGGGGGGCCCGGGCGATGCGGAGCGGCGGCAGCGCTGGGGGCGCCTCTTCGAGGAGCTGGACAGTAACAAGGATGGCCGCGTGGACGTGCACGAGTTGCGCCGGGGACTGGCCCGGCTGGGCGGGGGCGACCCGGACAGCAGCACCCAACAGGTATACCCCCGCCGGGGCCCCCACCTGGCGCTCCTCTCTCGGTCCAGCTGACCCGCTCCCCTGAATGGAACGCCCTGAGCCGCCAGGGACAGTCTGTGGCCAGACTCCAGGACCTGTGTCCACCATGAGTGGCTCTGTCCCCTTCCCCCTGCTACGCAGATCTGGGCCTAGACAGGGACCACGGAGGCCCCAGGCCTGTGGTACAGCTGCCAGCACCCCCCCAACCCCAGCCAGGATAGGGGCTGTCCGCCAGGGAACAAGCAGACCCCTTTCCTGCCCGCTGCTAACGACACACCCTCTGGACTCTCCACACTGCCCAAGACATGCCCTACTCCCACCTCCTGGAGACACACCCTCCACACCTCCCTGGGCCCTCTGGGCACCCACTGCCCTCCTAGCCAGCTGCCCCAGCCACTCTGTTTACACTCCCTCACCTGCCCTTTACCCGATCTGGCACAGGACCCCAGGCTGCCCCAGGGACCCAGCCCTGCCTGAGGCCACCCTCAGCTGAGGACATATCTATAAAGGCAGAAACCCCCCCAGACAGGTGTCTCCCCAACCTGTAACCCACATGCCCCTTGAGTGTGTCCATAGCATCTTGAGACCTTCAGTCCAATCTCCCATTTCCCGGATGGGAAAAACTGAGGCCTTGCCCATTCAGCTTGGATCTGTTCTGCCCCATGCTGCCCAGAGACAGCCAGGCGGATAGGTTTTGTGAAGAGACAGCTGGGAGGACAGGCTGGAGGGACAAGGGCTCAAGGCTACAACTCCCTAGCTTGTTGACCTTGAACTAGCTCTTGACCTCACTGTGCTACAGTTTGCTGAAAACTGGACAAACGCTACCCGCCTCCCAGGCTTGCTGTGGCCTTGGGCATCTTACTGAGAAGCGGACTTTGGAGAGGGGTGGTGATGTCCCTGCCTGCTTCCCTAGGGTGCTAGGGTCTCTGGGATCCTGAGCCAGGTAACTAGTTCTGCACCCCCATATCAGGAAGCAGCCTCCTGGAGCCCCTCCTGTCCCCACCCCCTTTGCCAGGGT